AAAATGTAAAATTTGGTATACTCAATGATGAAGTACTACTAAACTGTTCTGAAATCTTTTGCTACTTTAAAGTTTAAATTTATGACAAGGAAACACTTTAATGTTGCATTGTGTACCAAATCATGAAACTGTTAGTATTTCATATTCAGCAGGTGAAGTAGTAGTCTTGGGCCAAGTTGTATCATACACTGACTCAACAGTTGATCTATTAATAATAACTTTAAATAATAATAATAATTGTATTTTATATAACTGACTGTGTTTGTTGTACTGTATTGTATGTTGGACCATCTTTCACTGGTGCATCATCAGCAGTACTGTATGTGTGTGTATAGACATAATGTACTAGTCAATAGTGTAACTAACTTTGTTTCAAATTCAGTTGTAGCATAAGCTGGACTGCACTCCATTACAATGTCATTATCTGATTTTCTATTGGTTTTAAAATCAATTCAGTAATGAATGTGTACACATTTACCTTTTTTGATTAATATTAGTTCTTGTTATATACACAACCAGTACCAGTATAATAATTATAGATAAAGCCAATAGTGATGCTAATACTGTCACACTGACTATCCCTCCAGTAATACTTCCTCCATTATTCACTAATACAGTAGTTGACACAGTCAAAGCAGTAGTCATGGTATCAGTAGAACCAGAAACTATAAAGCATAAACTCATTACTGATATAATTGCTTTAAAATAAATTGACAAATCATTTTAGATCTACATGTACTTGTTGATGATGATAAACAGTGATAGTGAAAGTTCAGTTCTATTGTAATATTATCATTGCTTTACCTGTTGGTACAGTTCTAGGTCCTTCATAATAAATTTCATTTACTTCAATAGTCACTGACATCTCAAATGAGTAACTGAGGCATGAGTATAACTCTGGTATAATAACTTCATTTGTTTCATTGCTAACATTCATTGAGTCATCATCAAACTCGCTGCTGTAATAGATAATGTAGTAACTGGCCCCTGGAATGGGTAGCCAATTCATTTGTACAGTAGTTGAGTTGAGATGCACGAGAGTGAAATTGCTTATACTTGCTATGAAAATAGTGTATTATAAGGCCACTCCAATTTGATTCCTTGTTTCCCATTACCCGCCCACATGGGGCCGCATCGCTATTCATTATTGCGGTTTTGCATTGATTATACAAGCAATTTATACAGCTGATAATGAATAAATTTAATGAAAATGAACAAACCCGCCCGCCCGCATCAGGCCCGCCTCTGTAATGGGAAACTATGAATCTTATTGGAGTGGCCTAATATAATGCTAAATTTTAATGGAAAATTTACCTATTTCATTAGTTGAGAATAATTCATTAGTCCATTCTCCTGGTCCAATACTAGTATATGCTCTCACTCCAATAGTATAACTAGTATTAGGTATCAATCCTACTATACTGTAATATGTGTTCGTGGTGTTAGTTATAGTGTATGGACCAGTACTGGTAGACTCTCTATATCTTATCTCATATACTGTAATGATACCATTAGGTATTGTAGGAGGATTCCATGAGATACTGATCTCAGTTAGTGCAGCATTTGTTTGTATTAGATCAGATATCAGACCAGGAACTGTGTTAAGATCATGTTAAAGTGATCAATATCTCGTGTTGGCTTACTTGATTCAGGAGTTAATTGTATTTCTTGTCTAGCTGGTCCATTCATATTATAATTATAAGGTTTTATATTCACAGTATAGTTAGTATATGGTATTAATCCTGTGAGATTATACATTCTGTTGTCTCCTCCAGTGATATTAACAGTATAACTAGTGTTTGAAGTGATGTTAGTGTATGTGAGGTAGTATCCAGTGATTGGTCCATTCCTTCCATTGCAAGGTACTTCATCCCATGAGACAGTCATTGACACTGACTCTACTGATGAGAATATAATATCACCCACTGGCCCAGTAGGAGCTATAGGAATATAAATATAATAATACTACTTTGATATCATACCAGTAAAGGGTGTAGTTACAGTACTAGCATTGAAAGCTACCATATCATCTTCATATACTCCAATAAGATCAAAGTCACATTGACTGTAAGGAGGTATACCAGTTGAAGTATGTGGTGATGAAACTGATGTTTCACTATTACTAGTGACTGATGATTCACATACTCTCCTACATCTCCTATTAATATTATAACTAATTGGTACCACAGGAGTAGGTGGACTCCATGTTAATGTAATGGTAGAAACTGTAATAACTGTAGCCATAAAATCAGCCACTTGATGGCCTAAAATTATTAATAATACATGTGCATGTTCATTACCGTATAGCTCCAAATTTTTGTTGGTCAAAATTTTCGTAGGGTACTTTTGCCTGACTAAATTTTTAATTGACGAAATTTATGTTCCACATGGGTAGTATGTGGATTAGTAACAAAAATGACGAAAATTTTATTGACAAAAATTAATTTTAACAAGAAATTAAGATTTTGATGAAATTTTTGACTGACGAAAATTTGGAGCTATTTGGTACTATAATAATAACTTACTAATAGTTAACATAACTGAAGCATTACCACTAGGTAGAGAAGCTGATCCATAAGATACTACATAGAAAGTGTATGTATTTCCTTGAGACAATGATGATGTTATATTAATTGTTGTATTACTAGTGTTGGATACACTAACAGGAGTATTACTAAACAGTTGATAGTAGACCTCATAACCAGTAGCTCCTGATACAGGAGACCAGGAGAGTCTTACATGAGCTANACCAGTACTTAATCTTGTAGCAGTTAAACCAGTTGGAGTATCAGATACTGACAATATAAT